AGTAATTTTTTAAAATGCTTACCCCAGATCTTCATGTGATGAACATGAGGCTTTTACCACTCTTTCCAAAGAACTGAACCTGGAAAGAACTTTATGACTGTGAAGGAGCATGTCAGTGTGCTGGTATCTGTTAGGAAATCCTGTTCTATGGCGTTCATACCAACTGCTTCTGTGGCTGAAGCAGCTGATCTTCTTTGTGGTCTAAACAAGTATGTTGATATTTGATCCAAGATAGTTGTGCTTAAGCTTTGTTGGCTCACAGCCACCTTTGAAAATCTGATGAAATGTGTAGAACTTCTTCCTAGAAAAAATGCAGGAGAGAGAGAGAGAGAGAGAGAGAGAGAGAGAGAGAGAGAGAGAGAGAGAGAGAGAGAGCACTCCCTTGAATGGCTAAATGGGGAACAGTGCATCGGGGTTGTGGTCACAGGCTAGTCATTGTGGGGATCTGGGGTAAAAGACCGATCCTCTTGGTGGAGTGTACCTCGCTTGACTTTCCAGGGATGCCTGGTTGACTCTGAACTGCCGAAGAATCTGTTTCTGTTTGCCAGGTGTGGGCTTTCATTGTTGTTGCCATTACACTCCTTTTGACGGAGGAGGGACTGTTGGCACGAGCTTCTGGCTGGATCTCAGGTTTAAAGGACTCTTGACCGGTTCTTGGTTTGATCAGATACATTTCAGTGTCTAAGGAAGACTCGGTGTGTTCCTGCTGCTGCCACTTCTAGACCTGCCTTTGGCCCAAAGCCCTGAGTGACCGAGCGATTAGGAAGTTGGCTCCCAAGTCGAGCCTTCATAGCTGCGCCTTACCGTTGCTGGTGCTGTCTGATGGACTGGATGCTTCTGTGGAACGTGAGCTGAGTGTCTTGAAGACTCTAGGTGATGGTGGGTTGGTTAGGCTTGAATAGACTGTTCGTACCACCTTGGTTCAAGTTTCACCCCACTGCCTTGAGTGTTGTCGTGGCTGTTTACCACATACTAGCTTATCATGTTGGAGAAGGACTACCCTTTTCCTTCTGAGGTTGTCTCTTGCTAATACTTCATATGGCCAGTTGTCTATGGAATTAGGGATGAAAGGAAGCAAGGATTGAAGGCTGGAGAGCCAACACCAAACTCAGGTAAACTGGAAGATTACAATGCCTCTAGGGAAATTACTTTATTGTTTGTAAAATGAAAGATAAAAGTTATTTGTTGTAAATCATTCTATGAAGAGGGACTCGTTCATTCACGTACTCTTTCCTCAAACATTACTTTGTTTTTAATAATAGAACATAGTGCCTTGCACAGCATTTACTTCCTTGCTTGTTGGTATCCTCCATTCTAACATGGGCTTCACTAGAACACAGATGGTTTAGTTCAGTGTTATATTCCCGTGACAGTCACGGGCATGACAGGTGCTCACCCCCGCCAGTTATCTTTTTAGCAGACAGGTGAACAATTAAATAAAGGAATTAAATAAAGGAACACTGACTAGCTGGCATTTCCTGATGCTGGTGTGTGTAAGAATCCTTGGGGAAGGGCACTTAAAAGATGCAGCTGTTCCTGTGTCTCTTTAGTGACCTTAGCCTCGGAGTGAGAATTGAACTTCAGGATCAGGTGCCAGGTCACATTCTGATGGTGAGTCAGGTAGTCCTGCAGAGCACTGTAAAGAAGGCTACGGCTGTGTGCCTTTTGTCCCCTCCAAATGTGTAAAGCAGAGTCTCACTCTTTGTTGCCAAAGACAAGACAAGACAAGTAAAAGATTCAGACAAGTAAAAATAATAATAAGCTAAATAAAACTGCTCAAAATAAAACACAATAAAATAATCCATTATATTTAAATATAATCCATTATAATTAAATAAGACATTCTTCAGTACCCCATCTTTTTGCTGTATTCTTTCAAATAAGCATATCTTATGAGATGCACATTTTACAAATATAGAATACTCTTCTTGGCTATATATTTCTCTCAAGCTGTAAAGCATTCAGTAGCAAAGAGAATAATAAAAAATAAAATAAGACAAATTGTCATTGGAGTCTTCCATTTAAAGGACATACAGGCCAAGGAATATCTACAACAGAAAAAAATCAGGTAAATTCTAAAGGATATCATCAAATAATTAAAAATATGCATGGTTAAAACCATTTTAAAAGTTATAGTTCTTTTTTACTGACCAAAGATTGTTTTATGATTTTATGGTGAGAATCCTAAGAATATATATATATATATATTACTGACCAACTTGGCAAAGTTATTATCTAGCAGTGTGGAAGAACAGGTATGCCAAGACACAAAAAAGTGCAGCTGAATACCCTGAAGCAAGTGTATGGAAGAGTGTGGAGATGGGTGGCAGAATTTTAAATGGGAACATCTTTGGACCCAGAAAGTATACTGAGGACCAAATCCTTAGGAAGATACTAGTCAGAGATGTATTTTCTAGGATATTAATGGGTAGGCCATTTATAAAATCAAATATTTAAAAAATGTTAATATCCACCCACACATTCAGGATTAATAAAACTGCTTGACATAGTTCCATACACTAAAAATAGCTGACATTTATTTAGTACTGCTACTTGGCTACTGCTGTACTGAGCGCATCATCAGAATTAGCTCCATTTTCTCAACAGTCCTCTGCATAAGTGGTATTATTATCTCATTTGATAAGTGAGGAGATTGAGCTACAAAGAAGTCAGGTCATCTGCTCAAGGTGATGTGAGTGGTGAGGGATTTGGTTGTGAGGACATTCAGATAGTCTGGCTTGAGTCTGTATTCCTCACACCGTCCCTCCATGGTGGACGTAACACACCAACCATGCAGAAAAGGAAAAAGGAAATGTTCAGCAGAGGAAAACAGACTCCAGAAGAACCTAGCAATTACAAAAGGAACAGAGAAAGAACGAAAATATGTAGACTGCTTAGAAAGATAGTTCAGATATGTGGCATATCATACTAAATATGTCACATCAGTAGTTATTTGGAGTGACTTACTTTCTTCTTTATAATTCACCACAGTCTAAAATTCTTATTCAATAAGTTATATTGTTGTGAGAATCGTAAAATATATATTTAAAAACCATCCAACTATTACCCTTATTTAGTTATGACAAATGTTGAGGCCCCCAGATTGTCTCATTTGATACTAGTTTTCCTTGCTTGTCTTTCCTATAGCCATATCTTAACTAATTTTCATTATTTTGTCATTTGATTTTGGTTCTATGTCTTTATTATGGAAAAGCCCTGGGTAAATGTGCTGGTATTAATAATTGAAATGCAAATGGTTATGAACATAAGAGTACTGACCCAAGAAACATTGAAGAAACTGAGATCTCCACTCTTTAGGCTGCAGCGTAAAGATTCTTGATTCTGCAGTTCCTTTGGATGTAGACCTGGCCATGTGATACATGAGGTACTGGCTGCTATAGGATTTTTTGATAAAATGCTATTCTAGGGCTAGAAAAATGGCTTAGGGCTTAAGAGCATGGCTGCTCTCCCAGAAGTTCTAAGTTCGACTCCCAACAACCATGTGGCAACTTACAATCATACATGACTCCAGTTCCAGGGAATCCAATACCTTCTTTGGCCTCAGAGGATACTGCCTGTGTGAGGTACACAAAAATACATGTAGGCAAGGCATCCATACACATAAAATAAAATTTAAAATACTCTGCTTTCTAGATAGGACGATCAAACCTGGCTGGCACTGCTGCCCTCTCCCCAAATCTTTCTTTTATCCATTGAGCTATGAAAACATGAATATCTTGCTTTTACAGCAGCCAACGTGTGAACCAGAAGCTACCAGTTTGAACCAGGGAGATATGTTGACCCTGCCATCGTGGCACTGAGTCAAAGCCAGCTGGAGCCCACTCTAGGCTTCTTGTTATGTGAGAAAAACAAAACTTTGTCTGTTCAGGCCACTGTTGATGTGTTTGTTCATTGCAACCAAACTACTTCCAATGGGTACAGAACCCAGCTCCTTCCGACGTGATTCCTTCCTCCATTTAAACAAATGGTTATATCCTACCCTGCAAAATATACTGTCTGAGTCATTTCAGTGGAATCTTAGAAGACTAGTATTAGAACATAGAGTTCTCATGCTTAAATTTCTTCTTCTCATATATAAAAATGTGTAATTAGGGGGAATAAATGATTATCACGAGATCATATGACTAGTGGTTATTTTATGCATTACAGCACTTTACGTGGGGTCGCCTCCAGGCAGTCATCTCTGTTGACTCCAATTCTAAATCATGAGGGTTATGCACTAGGAGGTCTAAAATGCTAGGTGAAGAATAATCTACAGCTTCTCAATAGGTAAACTTCCTGGCAAGAAATACATCTGCTCCTCCCCTGAGCATGGGAGCTGCAGGCTGACGAATTCACGGCAGAGTGCAAGAGTGCCTGCCCGAGTGCTCACATAGCTGTTCTTCAGCCCGCACGTTCGAGGAGTCATTTTGTTGGATGACTTGGGTTACTGATAGCAGCTGAGATGTGTGAGCCTGCGGCAGCTGGTGCGGCAATGAGCTCATTATTTTTGTCTAAAAGGCCAGCTCAGTCCCTGCAGGAACATCTTTTGGGTATTTTTATATCACTTATAGCTAATGGGTCTAGATTTGCCACTTATACTTCCAAAATGAATTTGAGTAATATAACGGCATTTTAAAATGAACCTTTAAATCCAAGTAGGTAGAAGCCAAGGATGTAATATTGAGTCAAACCTTCAAGAGGTGTATCATGAAGACTCAAATGAAGGAGATTTTTTTTCTTATGGTCAAGAAAAAGCAAAACAATCTTCCTGCCTCCACAAAACACCCTAAAACTCAAGCATGTTGCTATAACCTAACATTTGTGATTCAATCTCAGCTTAAAAGTCACCAACGTTCTTTGAGCCTTCCATCTGGTGCATTCCGCATCATTGTATGGAAGTGCATTGCTTTTGTTCCTTCTCGGCTCTTTTCACCCTCGAATCATTATTTGACTAATTTCGTTCCTTGTCTCTTCTGTCCCTCACTGGCTTGTTGCAGGTAGTGGGATCATTTCTATACTGTTCACTGTGTCACCGTTAGTGACGGTACTGGGCCCCAGATAATTCAAGAAGGATTTGTTGAATCCATGAAGGATACTTGTGATACTTTCTCCAACAACTTTGCTTAGTCAAGTCTACAAAGGACCCTTTCCAGGTGAGATGGGGGGCGGGGAGTTCTCTTCATGTTTGGGTATTGATTGGCGTGTTACTGGGGCACTTGCACATCTCCGTCCAATGTTAGAAGTGTTGGAGTGTCTGAAATGTGTCTTAGTCACAACAAAATTCCTCTGTTGGTCCAGTTCGGATTGATTTTACTTACTCGGCCTGAGTGAACAATGAAGAAGACAACTTTTAACTGTGCCCTGTAGGATACAGTGATCTTTTTACATTTCACAGAACAGTGTTCTCTACAGGTATTTTCACAACCTCCACTTGACCCTGTGCTCTCAGCATGCGTGTGTGTTGGTCTGCTGCCCCAATGGGGACAGCATCAGGAGTCTGGCAAGTGTTAGCCAGGCTAGCCTAGAAAGCCTGCAGGGAAAGGGAGTGAATGGAAACTCGGGTGTTTGTAAGCATTGCATAACGAGAACAAGAGCGTGACACTTTGCCCAAGACAGAAGGCCTCGAGAGAGTTCCACACACCCCACCCACTCTCGGGAAGGAGATTCGTGTGGGAAGATCATTATTCAGCTCCAAAGAGCAGCTGAGTTGCCAGCAAACTGAGTTTTCAGAGTAAGATAAAATGTTAATTACAGATGTCAAGATTAGAGTTGCCTTTTCTGCAAATTCCACGTGGTCTCTCAGCAACGTGATCTTTGAGTCCCCGAGGAACTAAAAATCTACACAGAAGAGATGCTTATCTCGATGCTGTAAGAATCCCCACCTTGAGTGCTGCCAAGTAAAGCTCTAGCTTCATGGCACAAACTACAAGGAATATGTCCAGGCTTTTTTAGAGGGCTGACATTTAAAACACAATTTAAGCTGGTAACTGTAACGAAATTCATCCAAAATATTAAGAGTATATGTACAAGGTGCTTTGCCTGCACTTAAAGAAACACTGTGCCATCACCAAGACTGGATTCTGGTTTCAGAGAGCCTTACACATGCTATTTTAAGAATATTTGTTGGTTTAAAATTGTTTGCCTTTTTACCAGTGAGACACATCCCAGAAGAGGAATTTGGCTGCTGGAAGACAAAAAGCTGACTCCTTGCATTTGGTGCTCATAAATGTGAGTCACCACCTCCCCTTTTCTTACCCCAGTTCATCCACTACTGTTCACAAGGGATCCCTGAGAACAAAAGAGAGGTTAAATCACCAACGCCCAAACTACTAGCACCCAGCAGAATCTTGTGGAGAGAAATGCAGCTTCTCTATAGTACAGTCCCATGCTACAGGAATGCAGATGTACAAGGACCCTATCACTGTTTCCTTTGGTTTTCTCAAAAACCTAACTTCACATTAATATCTAGGCTCCATTCTCTTGAGTTGAAATAAAGTACAACAACGTAAAATCAGTCCTTCGTGACTAAACTGAGTCTTTTGCTGAGTTAAACTTGGTAGGTGGGCATTCCTTTCTCTCTTTCTTCCTGGAGCAGAGGGTCAAATCCTGGCATCAGGAGATGAGCCTGAAACTTACAGAGCTCCACCTGCCCCTCTGTCTTCAGAGTGCTTGTATTAAAAGTGTCTGCCACTATGTCCAGGCCCAGGACTTTCTTTTCTTTTAATCCTACCTAAAAATGTGCATTTGAAAAACTCAACCTTTAGAAAACGTATATGACTAACAACAAACATTTGTAAACCATTGTTTAGGTATAGAAATAGTTTACATTTGGCCTCAATTACTTTGTCTTTCTGCACACACACACACACACATACACACACACACACACACACACACACACACTCATATTTTTTCCCTGAATCAAAAGAGCTAGTTACCTACATCATGGCATCTTCCTTTGAAATACATAATTTATCTCCAGTAAAGGTGTCTTCTGACCTCATACACATCATGGCATACATGTCACTCCATACATAATGATAATAATATAAGTTAAAAATTGAATATTATTTGTCCTCACTAAAACTCATGTTGAGGTTGGCCCCCTATGTAACATTGTTAAATAACAGGTCCTTTCAAAAGTGTTTGGGCTTATGAGGTCATCACTCTAGGAAGGAGTTCATGCCTGCCTCCTAGCAGTGGGTTTGTCTCCTGAGATTGTCTTACTTACCACGAGAGGTGTCTGTTAAAGTGAGATCATACAGTGGGATCTGGGTCTCTCCTGCACACATTTGCTTCTCTGATACCTAAAGCAGTTAGAAGTCCTCACCAGAGTCTCAAGCCTTGCTGAGAGGGGTTTTCAGTCCCCCAGACCTGTGATTCTGATGAGCTCTTTTCCTTTTTAAATATGGGGTTTTTCTATTTTGCCTAGGTTAGCCCTGGATTGCTGGGTTCAAGTTATCCTCCTGTCTCAGACATCCAAGCTGCTGTAGCCAGGACTACAGGTGTGCACCACCGTGCTTCCCTACCTCTTTCCTTTACACCAGGCATTCTATTACAGCAATAAAGAGTTGTGTAAGAAGCTGATGCTACATACATGTGTATAAAACAAAACAAAAACTCTCAGCTGTTTGTTCCCACAACTGCCTTCCTTAGACTCCAATCACTCACTACATTTGGTCATCATGGATCTGAACCATTCCTGAATTGAGAATATCACTTAAGAAAATTATTTTTGTTGGAGTACAGGGAGGGAAAGGAGGGAAATCTTGTTTTATTCTTCAGGCCCAGTTCTTGGCTTTAAAAGTTCAGAAGCTAAGAAATCAATGTATTCATCACTATTTGCAGTTTTTGCTTTTAGATATGCCCTTCCTGTGAGCAGTAAGTAACTGTAAAAGAAAACATGGCATGGCAATGTGGTATTTTCTGTATCTTCCTGTCTGGAGATTTTGTGTAAAAATGGGTTATTATCTCCAGTTTAGTGGATGTGCTCCTTGGGGAGCTCTTGGTACTGTCTCCCAAGTGTTACCTGTTTGTACCTTGCGGTAGTCAGTCCTTGTTCACAGCATTCTTCCTCTTCATCTTGTTCTTTCTCTCTCTCTTTTGAGACTCTCCTACTATGTATTCTTGGACAAAAGGACAGAGAGCAAGTACTTGGAATTGGCTTTTAAAGGACCTTTTTGTTTCCGATGAGAATCAATGATAGCTGCACTTGAGATTTTTCAGGACCCTGGTAATGACATGAAATGCTCTCCCACAGATCTCGCATGGCTGGAAGAATCAGTGGCAGTCTTGAATTCAGAGTGCCTTCTCTTAGAGGTATTCTTCTGAAACTGGTATTTTGATGATGCATTCAGTTTACTAATTAGAGCTCATAACTTCTTAACTGTAAATCAGTTGCAGATTTGGCACATGGCAACTCTATTGCTTCTGAGAGGCTTCCATTAGAAAGCCAACAGTTTTTTTTTATAACTATGATCCTAGGGGCCCTACGGTGTTCGTAACAATCTTTTATTTAAGATAGGGGAGGTATTCTGTGCATCTTTCACTAGTAGAAACACAGAAGATAATTGTCTTGTTTATATAACAGCATAAACAATTAACTCAGAGTCTGGGACTAATTCAACTAACTCTCAGAGTGTGAGTTGTTGCTGAGATGTACAGGAAATGAAAAAAATTCTTTTATTTCTGTTTTTTTAAGATTTGTTTTTTCCGTTGTGTATATGTCTCTGCACATACGGATGAGTGCAGGTGCCTATGGAGGCCAGCAGAGGGCATCAGGTGCCTACGGAGGCCAGCAGAGGGCATCAGGTGCCCTGGATCTGGAGTTGCAGGCAGTTAGGAACCACCCTGTAGGGAGATAAATTCAGGTCCTCTAGAAGAGCTGCAAGCACCCTTAACCACCGAGCCATCCTTACCCCCCCCCCCCAAATCTTTTCTTTAAGAGACATAACATGCTGTAAAAAAAATTTAACCATTTATATGACAAGGACTTATATCCAGAATAAACAAAGAACTCTTGTGGTTCACAATAGGAATGCAAACAACCAAGTTTAAAAATGAGCAAAAGATGCAGACAAATTTAGTCAGTAAGTACATGAAAAGGCATACAAGAAAACTGCCCTGAGATACCACTTTGCAGCCACTAGAGTGGCTAAAATTAAAAAGACTGTTAATACCAAATGCTAGCAGTGAAAATGTCCATCAACACATGAGCAGATAAGCTGGTTTTACAATGTGTGTGCAATCAGATTCGATTTAGTAGAACAATAAAATGGAATGAAGCAACAGCATGGCTGGATCTCAAAAGAATCATGCCAAATAAAACAGCCAGGCAAAAACGAGTACATATTGTACATTCCTTTCATGTAACATGCTAAAAGAACAGAGCCATCTCTAGTGATTGAAAGCATACCAGTGGGTGCCTGAGGATGGGTTTGGGAAGTTAAGAGGGTGAGGCAGGGTGGGGACACAAAGACAATTTTCCATGTGTTGGGTATCTGTGATGATGGTTTCATGTTGCCTAGACATGTCAAAACTCATCAAACTGTCCTTATTGTATGTAGTTCCCCATATGTCACTTATAACTCAATAAAGCTATTCTTAAAAGAGAAGCATGGATTGGATGGAAATTTTTATATATCACTGATAAAGGGCAAAATAAAAAGAAAATGTAAAAAGCTCAAATAATATGGATTTTTAGAGTTCCTGGAACTTAATAGGAGAAAAGGTAACCCAGCAAGAGGGTATCCAGAGGATGGGGATGTGGCCACTGGAACCCCAAAATAACAAGGCAAGAAAGGGGGAAGTACACCCAAGCATTCTCACAACCTTTAATTGTTTTAGAATATGGCAAACTACACATTCATATCAGACTTAAACACATTAAGAATATTTTAATTTCCAGGAAAGTCATTTTAGGTTAAGAATGTATGATAATCAGATAAGTGAGAAGAGAAATATAACAATAAAAATACTTAATCTGAAAGATTAAACAAGAGAGAAAAAAGTTACTACACCAGATGAGAAATTCTAAGTTTACATAAATTTAAAACCACAGTCAATTTCTGTTATTATTTACACACACACACACACACACACACACACACACACACACACACACGTATGCATACACACATGTGGTACATTATCAAGTTTGCCATGGCTCTGTCTTATCTCCTGGATATCTGAATTTTGTTTAATCTGGTATTAATTTCCTTAAGAAGCTTACTGTAGCTGGGTGGTGGTGGCGGCGCCGCACGCCTTTAATCCCAGCACTCGGGAGGCAGAGGCAGGAGGATCTCTGTGAGTTCGAGGCCAGCCTGGGCTACCAAGTGAGTTCCAGGAAAGGCACAAAGCTACACAGAGAAACCCTGTCTCGGAAAAAAAAAAAAAGAAGCTTACTGTATTGTTTTCTGCTTCTGACAAATTATTTTAGTGTCTGGTTGTATAAAAATGCCTTCTCTTTGCCTCAACTAAAATTTTTCTTGGTCAGTGGTGTACTGACATTTGTTTTCAAACTCTATTTGTCTAATATAGTTCCCTTGTTTTATGTTGAGAACTCGCCATTGTTTTTTGATTCTTTATTAATAATATATTTTTCTTTGCCTACTTTTATGTTTTTCCTTTGAAAAATAAGAAAAACTAAAAAAAATAAGATAGTACAGTGGAAACCTATTTATGCTTTACCAATATGTGCCAATTATTAACATGTTCATTCTCTCTCTCTCTCTCTCTCTCTCTCTCTGTCTCTCCCTCTCTCCTGTATGTGTGTGTTTCTATTGATGTATGACATGTTGCATTTCTAACCAAAGTTAACTTTACCAATAATCTTGCTGAAGTCATACTTGTTAAAGAAAGGAGACAATTCCCCCCATAAGACCCTTCGACAATTCAAAGCCTGTCACCAGGCGCTTGAGAAGACTGGATGGCTCTCCAACTCCCAATCTTTTTGTTTGTTTTTATTTTTCTCAGGAGACATTCCCAAAGGGAAAAGTGAGCAGTTGGGAGGACATGGGACTTTTGTTTAGTTTACATTTTAAGAGACTGCACGTGGAACATTATAGACTTAAACTGATTAAATTATTGCTTGTTTGGGATTTAAAAAGGAGATGGGGAGAAAGAAGTCTAGATTGGACATTTTAGGACACTGGACTTATGTCATGCTTTTTACTAATAAGCAGGCTTTTTGACTGTGGCCATGTTTTTATCAGTGTTAGATCATTACCCGGTCTAAGGTTCATGCATGGCATGGCCCTGGGAGTGAGGCCCTCTTTAGCCTCTGCAGTAGACACCTAACTTGGTTCATCCCCATCCAGCGCTGATGCTGGACCCTTGAACACAGACTGCAGACCCCAGCCTCCCTTTCCTGGGACGCTCCTCTAACTGCAGCACTGTAAACATTCACTTGTCCAGACTAGCTTTAGTTACTCTTTCTTCTTTATTTGTCAGTGCACTGTATTTCCGAAAGTAGTATCTTAAAAGCTTATCAACAGCATGCCATTCCATACTCCTAGAACAAATCTCCAAGTGCCAAAGTAGAAATGAAGGGTCTCCTTCCAGGTCTCCCCTCAGTGTTTCCACTCCCTTCTCCGGGGATAATTCTTGACATCGCCTATTCTCTCTGCTGTGCATTTATCAGATGCACATTTGCCCACGTGCACTTAAGAATTAGTATCAGCCTGTGGTGGTGTGAGTAGGAATGGCCTCCTGAGGCTCCCTTTTGAAAGCGTGGTCATTAGGGAGTGGCACTGCTTGACAGGGATTAGGAGGCGTGGCCTTGTTAGAAGAAGTGTGTCACTGGGTGTGGGCTTTGGGGTTCAGAATCCCAAGTCAGAGTCCAAGTGGCTCTCTCTCTCTTCCTGCTGCCTGCTGATCTGGATGTAGAACTCTCAGCTACCTCTCCAGGACCGTGTTTGCCTGCATGCCACCATGCTCCCAGCCATGACAATAATGGACTGAATGTCTGAAACTATAAGCAAGCTCCAATTAAATGCTTTCTTTTATAAGAGTTGACTGCGGTCAGCGTGTCTCTTCACAGCAGTAGGACACTGGCTGAGACATCCTTATAGACTTTTCTACAGTCGGTTTTTGGTTCACAGTATGTTTCGGAGAGCTCTTTTTCATGAAGAGTTTCAACAACCAAGCTAATGCAAATTGAGTGTCTGGCATGTGTCAATATCCTGGCCCTTTATGGGGGGCACCTTGTATAATTTTTATAATAGCTCTATAAAGAAGGGTATTTCACTATCATTTTACACTTAAAGGGAAGCTGAATCACTAGATAGATGATTTGGGCAAGTTTAAATTGTTAGTAAGCATTGGACTGTAGTTCTGATGGCTTTGTTTCAACCACTATAGTTTGTTGTGAGTATAAGAAAACTACATTCTTTTGTTTTTGTTTGATTTTCTTTTGGGGTGTGTGTGTGTGTGTGTGTGTGTGTGTGTGTGTGTGTGTGTGTGTATGAACGTGTGTATATACATACGTGTGTGTGCCACATGCACATGGCTGTGTGGGTGCACATGTGTCTTGCTCTATTTCTCTCTCTTTGTTCCTTTAAGAAAGAAAGGGTTTCTCACTGAACGGAAGTGAGGCTGCCTGGCCTGTCTGGCGTCTGCCCGTCTCTGCCACTCCTGAGTGCTAGGGTGTGGGCACTCATATACACGCACAATCATTACATGGGCACAGGGGATTTTAGCCCAGGCGTATGCAGCTAGTGTTCTCACCACCAAGCCACCTTCCCAGCCTCAAGTATAACATGCTTTAATATTCCTCTACTTATATATAGTCAGGGTGCTCCAATATATTTATTATAAACAATATTACATCGGAAAACTTTGTTTACTTGCACCCCCCTTTTTTTTCTGTGTGCAAATATTTAGGTAGAGCAGAGGCCTAAAAATGAGTCTCTGGGTCAAAAGTCCAGCACACCTCAATGTGACAGTTCAAGCAGGAGGATGCTTGTTGCTGTGGTTAGTTACTGGCTTCCTCGCGGTGAAATTCAGGACACGCTGTGACAGGTTGAGCTGTGGAACTCAAAAGCTGTCTGAGCCCTCAGCCAGGGTGATCTTTTCATACCATGATCTCACCCTTTGTTTCTCACACTGTCCAAAACTCCTCCCTAATCTTTTACAAGGAGCAGTTGGTTAGGCCACAAGCTGCTCTGCCCCTAATTACTATTTATTACATGTGCATGTTACCTGTCTTATAGTGATGTAGTCAGCACATGCATGAGGTTCAGGTGTCCTGAGTGGGGACCAGAGTGCCATCTCCTGACCCCCTCAGCTCCTCTGGACCTTCAGACTCTCAGCAGTGCTCCGGGTTGTGCTTGTATCCGTGCTCCTGAGAACCCAGCTTGACCTCTGCCTTGTTGTAGTTACACGAAGGTGTCATTGGCCTCCATTCTCCCTTTCATAAAGATACTAACCCGCTTTTACTTTGATAAATCCCTCTGCCTTTCCCTCTTCTACTGCACACAGTCACTTTTGCACAATGCTCAACCCGCATGCCACTTGTTCAAGGTCATACGTGTCTGTGTTAAGCATTGCATTTAGATGGGTGCCATAATTGAACACAGAAATTGAAAGTTTCTGAGCGGTCAAATACCTCTGGCTTGATTTATTGAAAATACAAGCAGGGATTCATATTGGAGTGCCCTAGGCATGGGAGTGAACAGGGGCTATGTTACAAGAATATGAAATCATACTTAATATGAACCCTTCTCTTTCTTGGGAGGTACATGAGAGATCTTCGTTTGGATATGCAAATGAGAACATTTTTATGAGGCTCTGACCCTATAATAATTTTCAGAAAAGACAGAATTTGAGCTTCTAGCCTGTGCTTGTCGGAGAATTAAATTCTGCTTTCCTGGAAAATATTATGCTTCAGTATAATCTTTTCTCCACTGAGTCTTTAATAAATATTTTATATTGCATTTTGTTCTTTGTACCCTAGGTAAGCTAGTAGTGGAAAGTATAAATCGGGTGTTTTAGGGAGAGGTCTCAAAACCTCATCTATCTATCTATCTATCTATCTATCTATCTATCTATCTATCTATCTATCTATCTCTATCTCTATATCTATTTTGTGTGTGTCTGAGTTTGTCTTTGGTGTGTGTGTGTGTATATATATATATATATATATATATATATATATACACACATCTGCAACTTCCTCAGTTAAATACATTTTTCTTCATTTTAACTCTCAATTGACTGTTTAAGTAATGATCTTTCTCACCTTGCATGAAGAAAGAAGTTAATTCAAAAGTCTTATCACTGGGTTAAAGTCGATTCCTGAAGGTTAACTTTGACATCCTTTGTCAACACTCTCCCTAGAAATTCCTCCTGCTTATGTGAGACAAAGAAGTCCTGAGGACAGGCCTTCCAGTTTGGTAGCTGATGGGATGGGAGGTGGGGCTCCCTGAAAACACTCGCTTCTATTATCACCAAGCCTGCCATCACAGGGCATAAGCCATGAAGGCTTTTCAAGTGCTAGAGGATTCCCTATGTTTCTTTCATCTCTTGTGGTCTCCTTTTTAGTAGAAGAATGCTCAAGGTTAAGTAAACAAGACGCACAGGCAGACTGCTCAGAGATGATAAACTAGACAGGGAA